TAAAATTTTTTTTTTTTTTTTTTTTTTTTTTTGATACTTGGGTCCTTGTGCTTACAAGGCAGGCAGTGTAACCACTGAGCAAAATCCCTGGCCCTAAAATTCTTTTTTTTAAAAAAATCATTCTAGGGATTGAAACTAAGGATTCATACTTACTAAACAAGTGCTCTGCCAATGAGCTGTATAGTCCTTTTTATTTTGAGAAATGGTCTTGCTAAGTTGCCATACTGGCCTCAAACTTGTGATCCTTCTATCTTACCATCCTGAGGAGTGGAATTTCATGCATGTGCTATTGTGCTGGGCTCATAAATGCAAAATTTTTATCTATTAATGTTTCTAGTGGCTTAAAACACTGTTGTTTAATTACTTTCATTACCATACATCCTGAAGATTTCTAATAACTACACAGATTGGTAGGTTTATGGTCACTTACTGACAGTGTTAAGAATTGTGTCCAAATGGAGTTCAATGTTTTAATGTTTTTGTATTTTCCAGCAGCAGTAGAAATACTGAACTATTTAGATAAAACAAAATTTTTTTATTCTAGGGCCAGGCATGTAGTTTGGTGCAGTGCCTGCCTGGCAAGCACGAGGTCCTGAGTTCGATTCCTGGTACCAAAAAAGAGAAGAAAAAAAAAAAAAAAGACCAAAACCTTTTTATTCTAAAAATGTTAAGATTATAATATTGAGAATAAGTGCTTATAAACATTTTGGTTCATCCTCCTGTGAATTTTGGAATTGGATTATTCTGTTGCAAAGTATTTGCTGGATAGACTTCTCAAAGAGTCCACTTTTGGTATAGGAGCTATTGGAGGATTAACTATACATTACTGCTCATAAACTCAGGCACAAAGTTTGTAGATAGTTGTCCATTAACTCAGCACTTTTGTTCTTATATTGTTATGTTAAGAAAATATCATAAATTACTCCTTTTAAAAATTCATGGGCACAACTCTTTTCATTTAAGATTGTAGACATTTTTAGGCTGGGAGTGGGGCTGGATTATGCCTGTAATCCCAGCTCTTGGGAGGCAGGAAGATCCCTGCAAGTTCGAAGCCAGTCTTGGCTATATAGTGATATCCAAGGTCAGCCTGAACTGCATAGTGGGACTTTGTCTCATGCACATACAAGAAAAGATTGTGGACTTTTTTTTCCTCATGAAAGTAAATTTCTGAAATTATCTTAAGAGCAACAATGTCTCAGTAAATAATTAGAAAATAAAAGTTTTATCTGGAATAACAAGCATATAGGGAAGTCTAGAAAAGTGGTTCTCAATACTTTTGGTTTCAGCAACCCTTTTAGACTCAATTACCAAGGACCCCAAAAAGGTCCTCAGTAATTCTGTTTAGGTTATATCTATTGATATTTACTGTTAGAGTGAAACTAAAATTATAAAAAATATTTAAACATTATAAATCATTGCATGTTAACTGTTTAAAACATAAATTATATTTTCCAAAAAACAAAAAATTAGCAGAGTGGTGTGATTTTATGTTTTTGCGTAGACCGTTAATATCTGACTTTATAGAGTATCTCTAAATGCCCATGACTGCTCCTGCAATCAGTCCAGTGAGATACCA